ACCTAAATGTCATATATAAGAAAACAGCATTTCATCTCTCATTATTCTCATCTAGCAAAGGTTAATTCTAAATTCCAATTATTATTTTAAACAAGCGCAGAGCAAACGAGAGATTTCGACGTCTTCACCTGTAGTGAAACTATCACGAAATGTTTTCGTTCGTTTCATGTGGTTTATCAAACTAACTTCCACTATAAATCCAATTAATCCATATTATTATATACCAACTATCAAAGTTCATTTTTCTCGTGATCTGATTGAGCAGGTGACGTGAACACGTTTCCCCGGCAACGGCGATTTTCAATGATTTTCAAGTGATTTCCCCGGAAATGTAAGTTTTTGTAAGTTTTTCGAGATCAAATACAGTAAAAACCCGCCAGTAAGAACCTACATTTTTAGAGTTAGCCTAAACAGGTTCTTGTTTAAATGGTAGTTAACACAATTTTAGGCTATCTAGGTTCTTAAATAGGTTCTTATTCCTGTGTAAAAAAAAAAAAACAAATAAAATTCTGCTACAAGATAAAAATATGGTAATCAGCCTATTTTTCAATCAACCTCACCCCACCCCCATCAACAACACCCTAGAACATTAGTTGATTTATCTGCACAGCAATGGCAAGCTCCTATTTTTCCAAACAGGATTCTAACCCAGCTCTGCATCACTAGATGATGGTTTTGGAAATAAGAACCTGTTTTTCATTTTCTAGGATAAATAGGTTCTTGTTTAAAGGGGGTATAAGTGACAAATTTGAGGCTAACAGGTTCTTAATTTTCAGGTTCTCGGCTTACTTGCGGGTTTTTACTGTAATCAAAAAAATCAAACAACTTTCACACTTGGTATATAACAAAACACTTATTGTCTTGAACCTCGGAAAAGCAGTCCCAGTCAATAAGTGTTATTCGCTACTTCCATATCACCATAATGACTTGCGTCTTTGGGGGGTAATCAATCACAAAAAAATGTCCCAAATTGAAAGGTTTCTTAATTGAATTTATACTATACCTGCTTTTATCTGTACAATACTGATTATCAGTTTATTTCAAGTTATTTTTTCGTGTACAGATCATCAAGAGTTTTGGTCTTACAGAAAATGTATTGACTTACGAAAAAGTGTTTAAAATTTACCTTAAATGTCTTCAAGCCTCTATCTTTTTTACTTCTTCATTTTATTTTTGGATACCAAACAAGGTATTGTCAACATTGTCTGATCAGCCTTCAGCAAAATAAGTGGGTTTTTACCCTCTGGTTACCCCCAAAGACGCAAAGTATTATGGGAATGTGAAAGTAGAGAATAGATAAAGCAAAGCTTTTTTCCAATCTAGCCCACTAATCATGAACAATATCATTAAATTGCCTATATAAGATTTGCCTATAAACACCCAATTACAATGAATCAATTATCTAATTATACAACTTCTCATTAATCGCATATCGGTAACTGTCCAATTATTTTCTTAATTGGACAGGTCTTGTTGATATGGGATTAATTTGGCAGCTATATAATTAATAGGTAATGGGATTTCATGCTCCCCAATCAAGAAATAATTAGACTCGAAAAATTTCTCTGACTGCCAAATTGGACTCGGCCTACGGCATCATCCAATTTTGTCGGTCCTCGGAATTTTCCTCGTCCAATTATTTCTTAATTGGACAACATGGAGTCCTATTACATATACTTATACTGTGTACACTGATATATTCACTTTCAAGACCATCGCCAGCAAAAAAACATAAGGTTGCTAATAAACGCTTGATAACAGTGACACGATATTTCATGAGTTTAATTATATTTTTATTACAAAGGCGGGCATGTTTTCCTCCCTTTGTAAAAATCAACATGTGAGTATAAAAGCGTACCCCAAGATCGTGGAAAGCCGAGAACGACTAAACGTGTTCTTATTTGCTTAGAGTAGACGAATCTAAATAAGATCCTTTCAAGCCGACATCTACATCTTGCTTGCTTTACTACTCAATTATTTTTAAACCACCCTCAGTCTTTGCTGAGCCTTGAATCTGAGCAGCCAACGACAACGAGCATGCGTAGAATCAATCGCTTTGTTAATTTGATGGCATTGATTTACATGCAGCTTTCCCGTGTGCAAGAGACGGCTTGCACTAACAGGTCATGTGACCCTACCTCCCTTAAAACGAGCAGTTGTGTAAAAACGAACTTTAGACATGAAAGGAGCAGCTCAACATTAGTAAGAGAGCGAAGCTTCAGCTCATAATGTTGACTAAAAGGATTTGTATGGGAAAAGTGTTGGCTGGCAGCCTCTTGCGGTCCAATCTATTTCCCATACGAATCCTTATGAGATAATTGATTTTATATTTAATGCCATTTTTCCTCTTTCGCTTGTTATAAGCTACAACTTCGCCACCCTACTAATATAGAGGTGCTCTTTTCATTCCGAATGTTCGTTTTGACACAGTTGCTCGTTTTAAGGGAGGCAGGGTCACGTTACCTGTCAGTGCAAGTCGTCTATTGTTCAGGCTATACACGGTATCCGCGTACAATATGCCCGCAACGGCCGCTTGGATATAATGCCTTTTTTTTTACCGAGGACTGAGGATAAAAAAAAAAATCCAAACGTATCTTTAGACTGGGCTGTCACAGGCATTGACCTCATTAAGCAGACGAGTAATAGTTGCAAATGTCTTCAAGAGGGTTATTCTGGATGAACATAATTATCGTTCAATAGAAAATAATGAACAAACATAAATCTAAGAACAAAGGTAATAATACTGAACAAACATACGTACACTGTAACTGGTAAGGAATACCACTCGCGAAACGTCTTATAGGGGGCGCCAAAATCGACGTAGTACAAGAGGATCATTATGACGTTTTCCAGCACTATTACGCAATATGACAAAAAATGAATAAGTCTGAGGTGTTTTCTGGCAGTTTCTGTTTCAAGACCTTCTTCATCGAACGGTTCGTATCCTATCCAAGATGAACCGAAAAAAAACCACCAAAATAACACATTTTCACAAGTACACGTGCACGTCTTCACTGCGTTAGCGTATGGCCAAATGCAATGCATAATTCGTAAGGAAATAAAATGAAAAACCAATATTGCTATGAGCAACCAAGTGAAGCCAACGACAAAGTACGTGATTGCTAACAATCGAGTGCTCAAAAGGAAAAATTTTGTCAAAAAGTCTAGAATCTTGTATTTCATAGGCTTGTTTGGAATTTCTTCTTGGAATGCCCAGACCAAACTTAAAAATGACACTGGTAAAGAAATAATTTGAATAGTGTTCACCGGTTCTATCTGAACGCTAACAACATACAGCTGAATTACAAGTTGTGGAGCTGACTCAAAAAGCGCTTCAAAACTTGCAGATTGTTCAGTAGCTTTCAGAACATCATATTCATATTGTCCTTTTACGATCTCTTCGCCTTTCCAGAATTTCTTTATCCCACAGACGACAAAGGCTTCCAATCTATAGAATGCTACCGTAAATGGATGGCAACCACATAGACACATCATATCATATGCGCATCTCGCGTCACTGTTTTTGCTTGTTCCATAGAAAAAGGCCCAAAATGCAGGAAAAGGCGTTATCATAAATAACAGCCCTACTATAAACCAGTTCTTGTGTCCAGCACTGTAATATTCCATCAGCGTAAGAATGTCTGTGATGGGGTCAGCGAAACTCAGAGCACTTAATGGAATTAGCAGCAAGATATCTTTCGTTGTTCTCTGTTGAGTACTCATGCTTGTATTATGGGTTTCTATATGTTCACATTTCAAAAATGGTTTCGCTTAACATTAGCCCAAGTATAGTTCATGTAAAATGGTTTCCTTCAGAAGTTCATGGACTTTTGTTTCCATGGTTTCTAAATTTTTGTTTGGGTAAACAGACGTGTCGGTTTACTGAAGGTTATCTTGAGGTCGTCACTTTGATCGATAGTTTTTCGTTTCCATGTTTGAATTCAAGTCCAGAATATTTTCAAAAAAACCCTTAAATCTATCTTTGAGGTGCATAACGCGATAGCTGATATGTTGTTTGACGATAAAGAAGCATTCCTCACTAGCTTTTCTTGTTAGATCAACCAAGATGGCGGCTACTGTTTCATTGGTATTCATATCTCAAAGGATTTTGAGTCACATGGTTGCTTTCCAAGAATAAAGAGTTAAAGATATTTCTTTATTTTGTGAAGTCATCGCATTCTTCTTCCTCTAGCTTCTAGCTTGCTTGTTTATCTTTCGTGTCAAGTATAATCCTTAATAAGTTGATTATGCGTAAACTGTACTGAATCAAAAAAGTGTGCGTAATAATTAAATCTATGCTAATTACTGTGCGTAATTTGAAATGGGATGCGCGTCTACATATATGGCTCATTCTTCACGAAGTGGGGGGGGGGGGGGGGGGGGGTGCGCTCATAAACGGGGTTGCGGTGCGCTTCTACGTGCTCATTCTTCACGGGGGAGTTAGTGCGCCTACAATTATCATGAGGGGAGGATGTGTTTCTATCTGGGTCAACTATGCTAGTGCTCACAAAGATGAGAGCTAGTTTGCCTACAAATGACATTCCAAGTGATCACCTAATCATCACAGCAAAAGTCAAAATTACATTCTTATTTTCTTTCTTTGTCAACCTATAGCAACCGGCTGTACGGATGCTCACTTCTACTGTGAGGAATGGAAAGCCAAGGGCTATTGTAACTTCGGTTACTTCGACCATATGCTGAAGGGATACTACTGTAAGAAGACCTGTGGAGCTTTTCAAGTAGAGGTTTAACGATCTGTTCAAACCTCCAAGGTACGAAATAAATAAAACATGCATTATGGCCTGTACGACGACGACGACAACCACGACAACAACAACAGCAGCAGCAGCAGCAACAACAACAACATAATAAACAAGCAACAAAAAATGAATAAATTAAAACAAAAACAAACAACAAAAACTGAAATTGAGAAAACGAAATAAGCGGGAGAAAAACAAATTAACAAATAAACAAACAAAAACAACAACTCAAAATCAAACAAAAAAACAAACGGGAAAAAACAACAATTAAAACATTTCAAACAAGCAAACGCAAACAAACAAACAAACAAACATACAAACAAAGCAAAACGCAAAGCAGCGAATTAGAAACTCTCTACTATTCGTAACAATGACCTTTTTTTTTTTGCGCGCGGAATGGTAATATGAGCAGCATTTGCATTTTAACTTCCAATACAATAATGTTGTGCCTTGTGTTGCGCGGTTTTGTACATGTTGCCCGTAAAATTACCGCACTTTTAAAAGAATCACGTTATCCATTATGGTTTTGATTTCTCTCCCTCCCTCCCTCCCTCCCTCGACAGCAAAGATAATACTAATAACTTTATTAATATCTCAAAAGTATTATGGCGCACGTGACTTACCACAGGTAGCCCAAGCTATCCATCAGTCAGTATAAAAGACTATAGGGATTTCGCATATTGTCGATTTTCATGGTAACCTTTTTTTTGAATAAACTTTAATTGTAATTTACTGTGTGTTTTGTAGTAGTTCAAGGTAATGACTGTACGGAGTTTCACGATTTTTTAGAATTTTTTTCCAACCTCATTGTCGACATTGGGCTACCTGTGGCCCTACTAATCGGGGAGACCTAATCTTATTAATCAGCTTAATAAAGTTTTCTTTGGTATTTGGTTTACACACCATTTGACCTTCAACCTCACAGGTCTACAAAATCCTAATGTATGATG